ATCAGTTTTACAGGTAGCCCCTCTCCCTCATACTAACTTTAAAATTTCGATCTGCATATCGAACAGGTTTGTTCATGTGCCTTCATAATTTCCACTTGTAAGTCATTTATTGGATAATACAAGGGCAAAGGAACATAACTGTTCAGAACACACAGTCAGAGCATATCACTGCTGTTCCATATAAAGAGGATCAGGATGGTGTTTTAGTTAGTTTTTTTTTTTTCTACTATGACTAAAAAGGACCCAACCAGAGCAAACTTAGAAAAGAGAAAGTTTATTTGAGGGCTCACAGTTTCAGAAGTTTTAGTCCATAGAAGGCCAGCTCCATTCCTCGGGGCTCAAGGTGAGGCAGAACATCATGGTGGAAGAGTGTGGCTGAGGGAAACAGCTCACACGATGATCAGAAAGCAAAGAAAGAGACTCCACTTGCAGGATACAAATATTTACCCCAAAGCCACAACCCCAATGTCCCTACCTACTCCAACCACACTCCACCAGCATTCAGTTACCACCAGATTAATCCTATGGGGTGGTTGATTCACTGATTCAGTAAAGGGTCTCATAACCCTATTATTATTTCTCTTAACCTTCTTGCATTGTCTCACACATGAGCCTTTGGGAGACGGCTCACATACAAACCCATAACAGGATGGTGAGTTTCCATCTATTGACAAGTCCCTTAAGTCCAAAGAAGCAGGCCATGAAGTCAGGAAGAAAGATTAGCCCTGCAGCTAGAGGACCTACTTTTACTCTAAATACCTTCCAAATCCAGTTTAGCACCAATTCCTCCACAGAGGTTGCTCTGCTCCTTCAGCTTTTTCATATAGTAATCCATGTAAATGACTTGTCTACCATGGTCTTTGAGTTCTTGAAGGCAGGGACCAACTCTGACTTATCTCTTTAAACTTCTAAGTTGAAAGTGTTCAAAGCATATTTATGGACAATATGTCAATTATTTTTAATCAGTGAATGATCTTCTTATCAGGATGACTTTTGATGAAAAATTGTGTTGATCATGAGCCACCATCAATACCACTAGAGTTTGAAGTTTCTCCCGCCTAATCTGTCTTACTTGTTTCCTCATAGGAACAAATATAAATATATACCAGCATGGAGGAAGAGTCCATGTATGGCCAGAAAATGGGGCATTTTATGAATGCAAGACTAACTTGCCAACTCCTCCCCCTGCAATTTAGACCCAGATGACAACTTTTAATCAATTAAGCTAGTCTACCCAGAGTCCTTATTTTGCCCCCTATATACTGAAGTTGATGAATACAGTTAGCAAATAAGTGTCAAACAAATAAAGAGAAAATTCTCTCTCTAAAACATTGCAGGAGACTGTTGTCAATTTCATAATTTGTTCACAATATTTTGTCACTCTCAGGTCCATCTCTACCAAGCGCCTTGGAATTCTTTCTAGAGGAGGAAGCCTACTTTTTACCCAGTTGGCATCAAGCTTACCTGACTTGGGTAGACTTGATTTCACAAATGAAATGTGAGCAGAAGTGATTTATCTTACAATTAGGCAAATGCATTAAAAGCCATTGTGATATTCCACCATTACTCTTCCCTATACTGCTTGGGTTCTAGAATATGTAGAGTGGAGCTGTAGCCAATCCATGGCTGTGGAGTGAGATTTTAAAAAGGAAAGAAAGAAAAAAAATAACTTGGCTGTAGTAAGCCACAGAGATTTGTTACTGCAGTAGAACTTAAAGAAAGCTAACAAATGAAAAAACCTACCTGGAGACATTTCATACTCTCCCTCTGGCCTTTGTCACTCCGCAGACACAGAATACAGCTTGAAGCTCAGGCTTTGAAATCAATAGTAAAATGAGATAAGAACTATGCCATTGGGTTTTGGGGATTGTTTAGCAGAAGAATGGTTTGAGCTCCATGAAGTAAGCTCCCTCTTCACCCTATCTACTTCCTTTCCTGGTTTATTCCCACTTTCACAGTGGAAGAAGAAAACTACAGGGTCTTGAGTCTTCCCTCTACTCTCTACTCGTTTGATGAACAAATCAAGCACAAGGCTTGTAATCTGACTCCTAGAAAGAAAATGCAGTGTGTGCAGGTTTGCTCCCTCCTGTGAGTGAGCTTCCAGCACCCAAGTGGAAAGCAAACTAATGTGATCTGAATGAATATTGGGGATTCAGGTGAGCCACCGTTCATCATTTTCCCCACTCCCCACCACTACCCAAAACCTGTCCTTCCATATGTGCACAACCACCATCATCACTTATGGCTATTATTCTCTGATTCTAGATTCTAAGTCTGGATTAGATGGCCCTCCTTTGTGCACACTGCATTTGCCCCTTCTCCCAACTATTACTCTGGATCAGATTTACTAGGTTGTGAATCAGTCTTTCCACAGAACTCTAGGATCTGTGTGACAAAAAAACTCTGATTCCCTTAAAAGCTGACTCATGCTTGAAAGATGGCTGATATTTATCAACATCTAACTTTCAGTGAATGAATTTGGTAAAATAATTCCTTCATGAGCTGATAAATGTATTATGCCAGTTTCCCAGAGCTCCACTCCTTACAGTTAGTCTTTTTGTTGTTTTGTATGTGTATGCGTTGTGCTGAGTATCAAACCCAGGGCCTCACAMATGCCAGGAAATCACTGTACACTGAAATATGCCCCCAGCCCTTTTTATTTTATTTCCAGATAGAGTCTCAATAAGCTGCCCAAGCTGGCTTCAAACTTGCTATCCTCCTGCCTCAGCCTTCAGGGTAGCTAGGATTAAAAGTGTGCATCTCCATAGCTGGCAAATATAAGTTTTTAACTGATAAGGAATTCTCCATTATGAAATGGGGATGTGACATAGACATACCCACAATCTTAAAGCACACATAGAGATCATTAGATATTCATTGAGTAATTCACAAATTGAATTTTCAGCTCCTGGTTAAGTAAATGTTGACTTATTACCCCTAGTAAAGTGTATCCCAGATGTATATTGATAGCTTGAGAATAACCATAAACTTCATAAAGCTGAAATCTACCAAAATAGAGTATTCTGAGATATATTCAGGATAGTTTCCAAGTGTCTAATACATATTTTCATAAATGTTTACATTGTAATAACCAAATACTAGGTAAGATAATTTCCTTTAAAAAAAGAATGAATTTAAATTTCTTTCATCTCTTGGAAGGACTCCAAGGTTTCCAGGGTAGAACAATATATTCAATAATACTCACTCTTGGGATACTTAAAAAAAAAAAAAAAAAACAGTCCTATGAGATTCTTTTTTTTTTTAAAGAAGAATGTTTCTTTTTCTGTTTATTTTTACCTAACACCTTTATCATCAAGCAAATTTCAAGATGTATCAAATCTCTGGTAAGGGAAACATCCTTCCACCCTTATCCTTTTGCTATACTTTAATATACTTTAGCCAGTTCTCTTGCTTTAATGGGCTTAACAGAAGCAAATCACAATTTAAAACTGTAGTTCACCGGGCTTCCTTTCTCTGTTCAGTGAAATTCCCCTCATTCAGCCCCTGCTGGTCTTGAGAAACACTCCCAAAGGCAGAAAAGGTACACAGGGCTTGCTTATTTAATTGAAGAAGGGTTTCATTTTAGAATTGTCAAAATGAAAAAAAAATTTAATAGCTCTTCAATTCAAACATAAGACCACAAGGGAGAAGCAAGTATGAGGCTAGTGTTTGGGGACGCTATGCAGGTTATCTATATGGGTTCCCAGGTCCTTTCAACTCTAAGATTGCATCCGGCTGTCTGTAAATCATATTGGCTACATGAGTGTTTCTAATTCATTTTATGGCTCCTCGCCTTTCAGAGTTCTACATCAAATAATCTGATTTCTTTTCACAATGTCAGGGAATCAACCTATGAAAAGCTTCAAGGTTTCAATCACTCAAGTTCGAAACAGAATACAGCTAACCAGCCCTAAGGAAGAAGCTTCCTTTAGGAAGCCAGAATTCAGGGAGACAGGGACAAGTTTAACTTCTCTGGCCCTGCAACACAGACAAGAGCTCTTCTTARAAGGCTAGGAAGAAAGCCCTCTGCCAACATGAAACGTCAGCCCTTCAGGGGAAAGTTCCCGCCAGAAAAAATAGCTGCAGATCAGCAGGTCCCCTCAGGTCCAACCACCCCACTCCCAACCCAGCCTCTTTTCTCTGCTTTCCCCACCTCTCTGCCTCACTTTCACTTTGACCCACCCCAATTTCTTCCACTTCTCCCTCCCCAACTTCTCAACCTCTCCTTAATGCATTCCTTCCTTAGAGTGTTTCCCTCTGAGGAAATGTATTTCACCTCCAGAAGGTTTGCTCAGAGGAGCCACAGAGAGGCAGCGTCCAAACCCATCAACTACTCCCTCTTTTCCACTCCTTCCTTCCTTCCATAGAAGATAGGAATAGGGTCTGCCTATTTTTGCACGAATTGACCCCTTCTCCGCCTGGGCTGCGGCCAGCAAAGGGCACAGGAAAGGAGAGGCTTGTCCACACCTAACAACCTTGTAGGCGAGGTTTATAGCGTGGACAGCGCTGCCCTCTAGCGTTTGCAACCGCGAGCCCTGAGGACTCCACCAGCTCCAGAATTTCTCCTTCACAGCCTAAGCAAGCCCTGGAGCACCTCGGAGCTCCGACCCTAGTTCTCCTGCACCATCACCCCCTGCATTGCATCTCGCCTCACCTTTCCATCCTACCCACCCCCTTTATCCACTTAATGGTGTCCTGAGCGCCTACAACCCGCGGCTGATTTAATAGACTAGCCTCTGTTCCTGTTCCTCCTCCTCTTGCCCACTCTGCCTCTCGCCTCCTCTTCCAGTCCGGACGCCTAGACTCCAGGAAGCGCAGCTCTGCCAACCCGCGGGGTAGCCGGGTGCGCAGCACTCCCGGGTTGGTCTAGCCGCAAACCTAGGGTGCACTGGCACCAGCAAGGACGCTGAAGCGGAGGACGCCCAGAGACTTAGCACACCCCACCCGAGAGCCGGTCGTTTGCGAGAACCCGCTCTTAGATAAAGCTCCAGTGCAAGAGAAGAGGATTCCGAGTGAGACTTCTGGAGCCAGCGGGACACCCCAGTTCTCTCCCAGTGCGACGCAGCTGCACACATCGTCCACAAGGTGAGGTGTGCACACCTTTGGGGGGGCTTCCCTTTCACCCCCACCTCAGGATATGGCCTTAAGCTTGGGCTTGGGGAATTTTGCCCCTCTGAGGTGCAAAAGTAGCTGGAGTTGAGTCTTGGAGTGTGGGGAAAAAGACCGTAGGGGGTCGACTGAGCACTGTGCCTGCCCCCTGGACTTAGTACGGATTGCATTTCTCCTCCAAACAGTCCCACAAATGTGTGGACCCGAGTATGACATTGTGCATAACTGTGCTTTAAGAATGTTAGCCTGCATCCTTGCAAAAGGATTCAAGGCAGCTTAAAAATTAAATGAATCTGCAAAGAATGGTACCGGGTGGGAGACGTTGAGTAGAAATGGTGTGCCCTAGGGACCGCAGATGGATAGACAGGTAATTTCAAAGCCAACAATAATTGAAAAACCTTTGATTCCAAAGGACTACGCGGTTGGTTAGCCCTCAGAAAATTCCAGGTGGGGTATTTTACAAAATAAAGCTGGGAAGTGGGAGTTAAGGTGGGAAGTTTGGTCTTAAGCTATTTCCTTCCAACACTGTAAAGTGAGATGCCAGGTCCCCACATAAAAAAAAAAAAAAAATGAAGATACTATCACAGTATCATACATGGTTTTGAACTGTTAAAATGAATGTACTTTGACACCTTTCTGCCTGTGTCCAGTTTCAGAAAAGACCCAGCACTGCTTGTCCTTGAGTTGGAAGGATGAAGCAGAAGGTGTCAGCATCCCAGGATGCTCTTTCCCACCCATCCTCACTGTCCTTCCCTGCCTCCTGCGCCAAACCTCTCAGGGAGGGAGGGGGCCTGTAAGGAAATAATAAATGATCAAATGAATTGGGGGAGGGATTTTTTTCCCAAATAATCCAAGATTCTTTTATCATTCCTCCTACATCTTCCCTCAAAATGCCAAGCAGAGCATATACCTGAACTTGAAATTGCTTCAGAATATGTATTTGCCATAGTTACACGCTCAGACATGATATTTATCATCTTAAACACCCAGGGTGGACTTGCAAGTCAGGAACTTCTCTGACTTAACCTTGTGCAAGAGGGAAAAAGCAGGCATGTGGGTCTGGCTCCCTGGGGAGACCCTTTCATAGGGAGGATATACCTTTGAAATACAAAGAGGAGATTATGAAACAATCTTTCTTTTCTTACTGGTGCACTTGTTTTCCTGCTGAATTAAATGAGATGACCCTGTTTTCAACAATTAAATGAACAGAGGCATTTGAGGCCCACTTAGCAAATGTACAAAATATATCTGCTGGTTTTTTTCCTCCCTTCAGAATTTTAGCCTCCAGGCCACAGCTGTGATGATGGAGTAGACCTCTAAAGTAGAACTCAGCTCAGTGTTTTATCATGTTTAAAATAAAATGCATTGCTTATTCCTAAAATTGTACAGCACCTCACAACTAATCATTTTGCTGCACAGAAGTGAGAGAAGTACTTTTGTCCAGGTTATTTCATCACTGAGAGAGCTGTAAAGAGAAAGTTGTTCAAATCCTAATGCTTCATTATTGATARAACTTAACTATTATGTCATCATCACTTGATAAGCACTGTGGAAGCCCTAAGGACTACTACAGATCTCTGTATACATTGAGACTTTTAATGACAGAGCTGGAAAGTAGTTTTTAAAATGTAGCCATGACTAGGGGATATGCATGCTGAAATATTCCTTTAGGTAGTTGTTCTTTTCAAGAAGATTGACAGAGGTGTATATTCACAGATCTTTTTTTATAATAGAAGTGTTCAAATTAACAGTGTATATCCACCAGCTAAGAAATTTTAAGTTCTGCAGAAATCAACAACCCAAACATAGCACATTCAACTTCCTATTCTTTTCTCATTGCCTGCCAATGGTGACTTCACCCAAGGACATATTCCCAGACCAAGTGCTACTGGGTATCTTCCTTAGCATTCCATTTCCTTGGGAAGTATTGAGACGTAATACAGCCTCCCTGGAAACTCTTGAGAGGCTGGATATCACCTTTGTTAGCTATTCTGGCATCCATTGAAAATATTTGCTTCCCATTTCTTCTTCTGTATGCCTGGTCAGCAGCAATCATGTAAATAAATTTGTATTATTTTGATAGAAATAACCAAGTCAGGTATTCTCAGGGGTGGTATCTTGGAAGAGACAAAAATCCAAGACACATCTCTATTCCAAGTGATATTGTAATATGTTCCTTTCCCCGTATGTAATGGAATTGTTATTAGAAATGGAAGTAAGACATGTCATTAGCAGCACCTTSTTGCAACCTGGTTCAGCAACTTCCCCATCAGCATACTACCCCACCGCCACCACCATCACCAAGATATCAAAGGTTCAAATGGAAGGAGCATCCCTTTGCAAAAAACCTCAGTCCCTGAGCTTTCGGGGCATCTTCTCATCACTCAAGTATCCAGTCCCTTACCCCTCACCTTTTTACACAGGGTGGGTTTTTGGGTTTTTGTTTTAGTTTTTTTAATTTTATTATTTTTCATGTTTTTAATTGACTTTTTTGGAATTTTACTATCCTTTAAAAGTAAAAGTTCTAAATCTAATGTTTTAATGTAGGAAAGCTTTGCTTCTATTTCTGTTAAAATAAGCTAGAAACTAGAGCAGAATCTCACTCAAATTGGAATTTATTGTTCACACCATCTATATGTTATCAAGACCATCTCAGGGCAGAGACAAGACTGGCATCTCATGCTTTATGTGTCTTTCTTTTCTACCTACCACATTTTTTCTATGTGTGAAACTAGATGAACATTAGCTTCAGGAAAACAGTGACATATGCTATATGGATAAGAAGGGAGACAGAAGAGTGAACAGGGAAGAGAAAAAGAGGAAGCATTTGGTTTGGGCTGGGGCAGCACCTCTTCATCGTGGCTGAGTTCTTTGTTTTTGTCTTTGTTTTGTTTATTTTCTGTATCATGRTCCCTAAAACTTGTGGACCAGGTCAGTCAACTTACCAACATCTATCTCCCAAGAATAAAAGGATTTCATCAACATCACATCTACTTTTCATAATTTGGTATTTGTTCTCATATTTTGTGGATTAAGAAACTGAGAACCAGAATTAATAGAGATTATTCAGTCAATAACTTGGTATATTCCTGGATCACAACAAATAAGTAAAATACTTGAGAACTCCAGCCTTATCACAGTTTGGTTTTGCAGWAGTCTCCCACCACCCCATCCCCACTTATATGTTCTCAGACCCTCAGTGGATGCACATAGCCACAGCTGGTATTAAACCCTATACATACCATGTTTTTTTCTCCTATAGTTCTACAGCATTGCTACAGAGTACCAAAGTTAATCTCTCCTCCCACATTTTATGTCTTTTGAATCTCACATTTAAATTTTGGTGACATTATTGAGTGAAATGGTATTAATTAAATGCAGGCACTATAATACCGTAATAGTAGATCTGATGACCTAGAGAGTTGCTGATGACTGAAGGGCAGGTAACATATACATGGTTACATGGCTATGCTGGACAAAGGGATATGCTTCTGTCCTGGGTAGGGTAGGATGGAGCAGGTTGGCATGAGATTTCATCACACTATTCAGAATGGCACATAGTTTAAAAAATTATGAATTGTTCATTTCTGGAATTATCCATTTAATGTTTTGGACCATAGTTAGCCACAAATAACAGAAACTGTAGAAAGCAAACCTGTGGATAAGGAGGAGGTGTTGCTGAATTTTTATTTTTTATTTCTAGTTCTTTATCTTGTTTCACTCATTGAGGGTTATCTGGCTTACTGTGGTCTTGTTCTAATAGATTTCAGTGCTTTTATTTCCTGGCTATATTCCCCTAAACATGTCAAATGAAAAATGCACACAGCAGTGAAACACTCTAACAGGTTTATTGTCAGAACTCTCTCCTGTTGATCAGTTCTAAACATGTGCAATTATAGGATTAGGAAGTCAAAATCCTTTGGAAGAAGCTGTAAAACCCAATCCTTCCACATCTGGACCATTTGAAACTACAAGTTGTAAGAGGAAAGGGCATCTTAAGATCCTAGTTATCAGTACCGACCAGATGGAAGGTCTTTATGAAATTTAGCCTGAGAAGGAACACATTTTTATAGCAAGAGGGTAATATTTTGAGAAATAACAACCAGCACCAACAGCAGCTTGCAATTCCCAAACTCTCAGGTCTTTCTAATGACCCCATCTACTTCAAGTGTCCAAATAAAGTAAAAGCAGACCCCATGAAATGTTTTTCCTTAGATGCAGCTGTTCTTTATCCCCTCATCAGATAATGGACATATGGTGATATTTCCAAAGGATTTAGGGAGGATCTGATTTGAACATTGAAAGTAAGGGTTTTGTTAGGACAGCTTAACCAAAAAAGTCTAATTTCTGTCAATATTAGCATCCTTGCTTGAAAATTGAAGGCAATCCAGTCTTTTTAAAATAATTTCCACCAAAGGGCTRATAAAGTTGATAGGCAATACCTCCTCAAAATAATTTCACTTTTTAAAATAGCCTAATAACATTCAAAGCTATACATTTCATCCATCTACTCTGGTGGGAAGAAGGAAAAGAAAAAGAAGTTAACTTATGCTGAGTGACTGCTATGTTTCAGGAACTGTGCTAAAAGCTAAACATATATTCTTTTATTTAATACTCRAGGAAATCATTTCAAGGTTAGTATTATCAAATTCATTGGTCACTTATGGTTAAAAAAAAACTGTCCTTATAGGATGGGGCTGTAGCTCAATGGCAGAGCACTTGTCTCTCTTGGCTGAGACCCCTGGATTCAATCCCCAGCACCACAGAGAGAGAGGAAAAAAAACTGTATTTATCATCAAACTATTTGATTTGATGTCCTTTTCAAAGAAGCACAATGAATTCAGAGTGAGATAAGTTAAAGCAACTTTACCCATAAGCATGGGGGAATCATTATAGGGTTTTAAAGGTATTTATAAATAATAATATACATATAAAGAATAATAGAAATATTATAAAGAATAATAAAAATATTATAA